AAGATTTTAATAGAATAAGAAATTTGTAAGAATTTGTGAAAAAGTTTTAAACTACTCAACATTAAAGCGCTTTCATTCAAGCGACGAGTTTCTAAAATATAATTCATTAATTCTGCCATTTTTCACTAACTGATGAATCTATTTTATTGAAGCTCTGCTTCCTATTTCGGTACATTTCCAATATAGCTTCCACATTGTCTCTTCCGTGTTGATTTAAAAAAGAGGAGTAACAAAAATGCAACGCGCTTTCTTTTGTTGAAAATATAATGAGAAATAAATTGCTTTAACGACACCAATTAGAAATTTTACTAGATAAAAACTCTTCTTTACGAGTGCAATCAGGAAACTTTGAAATGGTAAGACTATAACAAAATCTAATAGGAAGTTAATGACATGAAAGTCGCTAAAAATTCCTTAGTTATCCAACCGTGTTTTTTTTTTTGTGAGTGCAAGAAGTTCTTTTTTCGGACATCAAGGAAAATTTTTCATATTCAAAATTAAAAAAAAAACCGAATAGATATTAATTAAAATTTATAAAATCTTAACGACCGGATAAAGAACTAATCATTTTCTAAAACATTTGTTAAAAATATCGACTAAAATGAATAGAAACTTATCGACGTGCACATACAAAATTTTATAAGACAAGAGGAGCAAAGAACTTCTAAGTATCAAAAAAGAGAAAGAGAGAAAAAAAGAAAAAATCTATTGTAGTTGATATACAAGTTAAGTAGGAAAAGTGGCGAAAAGAGCAGAACCGCAGCAACGAGTGCAGTCGCAGCAAAATATTGTAAATATCTAAAAAGAGATTACAGAAAATATCTGAAAATAAGAGGAAGATATGAAATATATTGTGTTTTTATATGCGATGGGAATATTTTACGTTTAAATAAACTGAAAGCTTGTAATAATAAAAAGCGACATTTTACCAAATGTTTCTAAAGTAAAGAAAGAAACTTATACTAATAATAACAATAGAAAACAATACACACACGCATATTCGTGAGAAAATGAAGTAATATTAAAACTACAATATAAATTTTTAAAAAAAGTTCAATCCTTAACAAAGTCTGTTTAAACGAATCGACAAGTTGAAAATGTAAATGTAACAAAAAAAAAAAAAGAAGTTACTTGATTATAAAAAAAAAGAGAGAAAAAAAACGCCAATCGAACGGTCCAGTAGAAGAATTTGTGTAATACATCATTTAGAACGACAGCAGCGAAGCTAACTTTAACGTTGAATATTATACGATTCTGTGTTGATTGGCTGCTTAATGCGAAATGCTTTGCAGTATTTTATTTGTAATGTGCACACACATACTGCAGGTTGTATATAAAATACTGCAAATTTCCTGCTCCGTCAATATTTCCTTAATGTTAATATGCTTGAAGGGAATTAAACATAAGATACTTATAATAAACGGTTAACTGCAGACAAAAAGTTATTATTCTTTGTTAATGAGAACATCTACCTTAAGTATGGCAGAAAATGGCAACATACGTTTATAGCTACTTGCGGATTTAGATTTATTCGTTTTACATGCAGAGCGTTCCAAAAAATATGTATACACACTTCGATAGTTCTTTCTAAAATGTATCTTTTCTTGTAATCTGAAATCCATCTAAATATAGACTGTTTTTACAATCACGAAATGTTCGTACAAGTTTTGTGGAGACACCCTATATTTCCAAATAAACAGCAGCTAACGTTTCTGCAAAATTATATAAACATTAAGATTGAAAGTTAGTTATTAAAGAGGAATTGGGAAATTGTGCTCATAATTTGCATATGATCTGTGAACATGTCCGTTCCACTAGTCGTTCGTTCGTTAGTTTCCTTTTATTCTGAGATTTGATGGCATTTTTACACCCATCACCAAAGGCTGATACACATATATTCATTTTGTCAAACCGTTTGCAAAGTCCAAAAGGAAACATCAGAGTCCCTGCACGGTATATATATTCCTGATCAGTATCAAATTTTGAATCGACTTAGGCGTATCCATCCGTCCGTCTGCAGCAAATATTCTCGCATCCACAAAAATAAAGCTATCTTCTTCAAATTTGGCAGAAACATTCAAAACGGACCAAATTGATCGAAGTATACGCCTCCAGTGTTACGTGAATTGCGAATACCTCTGCGTATTGCTGATAAAATACAGCAAATAAATCTACAAAAATTTAAATGAATATTCTGCGGGCGATGCTGCACAAAAAGTGAAGCTTACCTAACTGCGTAGTTGCATATCAAAATTTCAATATTGTTTTTTTTTATAACCCTATAAAGTGTGTAACTTCTTGACCAGTTTCAAATTCGGAATGCACTTAAGCATGCCCAACAGCATGCATGTGCAGCGTAAAGCTTTCATTATTCGTAGCAGCGAAATATCGTCCAGAAGTTTGCAAAAGAATTTGAAAATGACCCAAGTAGGGCAAAGGGCACACCTGCAATGCCCACATGCCTATGCAATAAAGACTGTGAACACCTTCGCCTTTGATCTTTTCCACTGAGAGCAGAACAAATCATCCGCGCCCTCCTAATATTTGAGAGCATGAAAATTCAATTCTTTTCCTTATTTTAAGACTTTTTTAGGATAACGGCGCTGGATATAAAAGATTCGATCACGACCGAATAAATTTTCTTATTGTTTTTTTCAATTTTGGTGTATTGACGCACAAGAATATGGCGCAACACCAAGTTTACTAAGTGAGACCGCAAAGCATTTTAGTAACTAAAAGCCTATCATTTGGAGGATCGAGAGCACTTTTATATTTAAGAATTTTCTGAAGGCCTTAACTGCTATATAATAGTGCATACACTCCGATCAAACTTTAGATACCAACATGTTCTCCCAAAAAAATAATAGTTGAAGTGATTAAATTAATTTTATAAAACTTTAGATTAGCATCTGCTTCCGGTTCCTTTGCAAACTATGGAATTATTCCAATATATTTGGACATTCGTTTCCGGCAAGTTGTAAAGAGTTTGAGAATGACGTTACTTGTAAAAGTTCAGTATTATATTAAAATTCGTACTTAATATTTTAAGCATATGTCCGGCGCCGATACGATGTATATTTATAGGGAAATTCGATTGATTTTTTAACTTGGATAGAGGTGTCGGAATGTAAGCGTAACGGTCTAAGCCGATAGGCCCCCTTTGAAGGTAACGTTGCTTTAGAGTATGCCTTTCTCAATTTAGATTCGTACCCTATTTATTTGCTATCCCACATCGTGAATACGTTGTCTCTACTCATGTGTGCTTAAGGTAACTGAAATCAAGTAAAAACTTAAAAAAAACCTAATGACCATTCTACCGTTTTTATCGCAACGAAAACTTTTAGCTTAATATGTTTACTATTTTGAAAACATAAAAAAAAAACTGATTTTAAAAATTATATATTAATTCGTAGATCGTCGCATAACTAAATAAATTTGTGATAATCGCACAATAACAACGATTTTTTTACTTAAGAGCGTCGGGGCAGCCGCTCATCCAAACAGACAAAAAGAAAATCCTTGTCATTACTCCTTAACACTGCATACATATATGCATATATATTGTAAAGATAACGATAATAAAAGCTAATCATAAAAAGCCAACGTTTTATTTCCTCCCTTCGTCTACTACCACAAGATAATAGTGATTGTTTTTCATTTTTTTTTTTTCTCATTTTGGATTGAATCCGTTTACATTTTCATGTCGCTTATCGTAATTTCAAACGAATCTCGGTTACAATAAATAACGAGGTAACATAACACACGCACACCAAAAAAAAAAAAAAAAAAAATTCAACTGGTTGTAACAATAACACTTCTAACAACAACCTCTTCTTAATTATAAGTGCAACTTGCAAGTAGTAAATATAAAAAAAAAACAAAAAAAGAAGCAAATAACTCACCTTTTTCCATTATGTTTACGGGTAAATTACAAATAAAAGTCTGCGAGGCGATTGGTTTGCGCCCTACAGATTTCCAAAAGCGTCATAATCTAACATTTGGAAAGCTAGCAGATGATCAACTCATTGACCCGTACGTCTCGATCGATGTGGATGACGTTCATTTTGGTAAGTAAAGTCTAAAAAATATGAGAAAAAAAAAAGATTGAACTTATATTGAACACGTTTTTCAAATGTAAAGTCTTTCTATGCAAAATAGTAAAATATTACCTGAAGCAACTTGCTTGAGATTTTTCATTAAGTAGAAAACCTCAAAAAGCGAACTTAACCTCAATTTCTGAATCTTATTGCAACGAGTTGGGCCCTCAGACGTCTTTTTCTCATTGACTCATCTCATCTTCCTTTCTTAGAAGTAAACTTACGCAAAACCACATGCCTTCGCTCCCTTTTCTTGGTAGAATATCGAAAATATTGAAAAGAAACTTTCTTTACGTTTGCGCAAAGCAACTCGAAAGCAATTTTTCTTGAGGAGTTTTTAAGGCTTTCGTAAGATAACTCCATTCTTTTTTTTGTCTAGACAAAACTATTTTAATTTGCACGTCGTGTGCAAGCTTCCAACAGAAGTAACTTTTTCTAACCTAATCTAACCTAAATTTATAATGAAATTTTCGAATAGATTGTTAAATTTACTTCTCTCAATTGTCTTTTCTCATTTTGTGTTATTTCATACTAGTTAAATTCTGCTCTGTATAAAAAGTTCGAGAATTATAAAAAATCTCAAAGTTAACCTCGCAATCACGAATTTACAAAATTTGTAATAATAAATTTGTAGAACTTACAGTATCAAAGTTTTTGTATGTAGGGTTGCCGAGTTAATAAAATTAAAACTGATTACCGTCATTAATTCTTATTCACGTTATCGTATTTCAATCGATAGTACTTCGTTTGTGCAAGTTTAAAGATCTTTTTATTACTTCTGAAAAATTGTTATATAATTATGAAGGTAATGCGAAATTTACTTTTCAGACCGTTCAACTACACGCCCGAAAACTTTCGATCCCGTTTGGAATGAACAATTCGTACACGATGTTACGAATGGTAAAAATATTAATTTAACAGTATTCCATGATGCTGCACTCCCACCGGATGATTTCGTTGCTAATTGCATAATACCTTTTGAAGATATTATGCAACATGAGTCTCCTGTGCCTGATTTGTGGGTAGGACAGCGTTAAAATCTATATTATTAAGGCAAATGCAAATTTATGAAATTGCAATCTATTTTTGTAGGTTAATTTGGAACCTCAAGGCAAGATACACGTCATACTTGAATTGAAAAATCGCAGCGGTAAATCAAAAAGTAAGCATTCATTAAATTATGAATGAAAAGAAAATCCGTGTAAACTTGTAAAATTGCCTCTAGATCAAAATAAAGATGCTACCGAAGTGGATCATGCGATTAGCGGCGCTGGCGCCAATAAAGAATTTAAAGAACGTGCCGGTTTTAATCGTCGTCGCGGAGCCATGCGACGTCGAGTGCATCAGGTAAGGAAATCGTGCTCTTCGAGCTTTCCGTCCCCATCTCTCTTTAGAAAATTTTCGAATGAAAAGATGATTTATGATTTAAATGAACTTCGAGATCATCTGCGACACCTGTACTGAATAATACCGTTCCCGGTGGTTCGATGCCAATTGCGTATAATTTGATAACACTTGCGTGCTTGTAAAATTATACAACTGTCTGAATAAAAACATTCCAGTATCACTTCAATTTAATTTGAAAGCTTTATTAAGCCGATCTGGTATAAGTTCATAGGCATGTAGAAAAAGTCATCACCGAATCGTTAGGATATTGAAATTTCGCAAAAACGCTATTTTAGATTCGATAATGCCCGACAGAGGAATGGAAGCAAATTGTTGCATTTGTAAGTTACATATATATAAGTATATATATATATGGATATTAACTCAAGGTCTTCAAAAGTTTGCTTTACAAATGTGTTTTAAACTACCACGATTAGAACTAGACAATCTTGTCTGTAAGTTTTCCTTGTTTCCTCAAAGATACGTTTGCAAGCATCAGTTAAGCTGAAAGTCCTTAGCATATTCTCTTTTCTTATTGTTCCATTCTGCTATTATCCGTTTGTTAACTTTACGCATTTAGCATACGTGAAATTTTTACGCTGGATCTCGGCAGTACAGGGTCGTCATTCAACTTAAATGAAATATCGTAGAAGAATAATGGAATTAAAAAATATTCGCTTTTTAAAAATTGGAAAAATTGGAAAAATTCATTTTTAATCAAATACAATATTTTCAAGTATATGAACCGTCACCGTCGTAGGTGACATGCATATAAAGATTACACCAACAAGAATTGCAAAAATGGGACCTATAAGCCCCATTTTTTATTGGCTTAGTTGATTTAATAAATCTTAACAAACTGAATAATTTTGGAAACGATCATTAAAATAGTTGTTTTCATTATGATAGGTTAATGGTCATAAATTTATGGCGACATTTTTACGTCAACCGACATTTTGTTCACATTGTCGAGAATTCATTTGGTAAGTTACGTTATTTATATTTTGAAGTTTAATTTAATATGTGTGTATATCAAAATTCATATAAGAATATTTTATGTATTATTTTTATCGGTAATTAACAAATTTCATAATAATTTTGAAAAAGTTGGGTTTTATTTTCAATGTTTTATGTTTGAATTCTCTCGGTACACGTATATCCTTTTAGTTTCCTTTAGTGATTTTTTTTTTTTTTTTTTCTGGTTGTAATTTTAGTTTTCCTCATCAATTATAATATAATTTTGTATGCTTTTTATATATACATATGTATGTGTTTTTGTATATGCTGGGTTGTTTTCTTGATCAATTAATATTGATAAATTTTCGGCAGAAATATTTTATATTTATTTTTTTTTTTTAGAATAACATCTTATACACATCCATCCAAAGGGAAAAGTAATTTTATTTATTTATTTTTTTTTTTTTTGCTCATAATTATTTATATTGATGTACATAAACAAAAAGGAAAAAGAAAAAAATTTATATAAAAATATGAATACATACATATGCATATATATATATATATATGCATAAAATATGTGGATATATATATAAATACATATATGTGTACATATATATATATATATATATAACGTACATACATATATATACAAGCTACGCAAATTTTTTGCCTTTGCAGGGGAATTGGTAAGCAAGGATACCAATGTCAAGGTATGTGTTTTGCATTACATAGAAAAAACAAAAATCATTTATCGAAGAAAAACATAAATATATATTTGTATTGTGAATGTTTAGTGTCCTTTGTGTCCCGATGTGTTGTTCGTTCCTCATGAATCTTAAACGTTATTTTCGAGATTTTATCAATCAAATAATGGCTCAAGAATTTTTTTGAAATCTTATTAAGACAAAGAACTACTTTGCTCTATACAAGAGGAAACATTTAAATTGAGTTAATTCAATATTTCTTCAATCACATATTTAAATTGAATTTCACATCCGTTAAAGTTATGTAAGATGAATTTTTCAAATCTTAAATAACGTTTAAAGAAAACATGATCCTTTATCCTTTTTTGCAGTTTTTTTTTTTTTGCTTTGACATCTAATCGCCTTTGCTCTAGTGTCTTGTGCCTTTTAATTTTGTGAATACGTAATTCATTTATGCTTACTCTATAGTTCACGGCGTGTTGTAGATCGCATTTTTTTCGAAAACGATTTTCTTAATCAAATGGCTCGCAAAATGCTAGGATATGAAAATCCTATACAACTCGTGATACGAGTGTATATTAAGTTTGTGTATATGTAGACAATACCCGGAAGGGCGTGAGATAAAACCTTCGTTTATTACACCAATCGATTCAGAAAGTGATTCATGCTTGTCTGTGTCCGTCTGCATTGCTTTCTTGTGTTCAACTTTTGGTCGCAATTTCTGAAATCCCTTAATGAAATATGTTACACGGTCAAAATTTGGTCCAAGGATGGGCGCTATTAAAAATGGTTCGTTGGGATCGTACTTTAACCCAGAAACACGTAACAGTGTAACTTCTTGTATCGGCCTAGGCTTGTCTGTCCGCCTCTCTGTCTGTCTTGTTTTTTTGGATTCTTTGTTTACCTTCTTTAAAATCGAAAGATTTATTTTTACTTTTTAAAGCAAATTTTTTTTTTGTTTTCGCTTTAGTTAAACTGCTCTAGACATTGTACTATTATGCGTTAGGGAGCATGATGGCAGAGCTATCTCGATAGTTTCTCTTTCTTCATTGGAAAATCTACGAAGACAAAATAGTGCAGCTTTATAATAAAAAAAAAAAAAAAAATTGGAGCGACATAAGTATCTAAAGCCTATTGAGAGCCTGCTACTACTTGGGAACAGCCACGGGCGGTGTTAGCTAAAATTAACAAAATATTAAAGATTGTGATACCGTAAAGGCTTCATTATGGCCGAGGAAAAAGGATGTCCTTAAATATAACTTTATCTAATACTACAAGGTCGATCTGTGTCGCCCAGGGCGAGGTCCGGAACATAGATGTCCGGAGCGCACGGAGAACAAATTCTTGCCTACTATTAGATGGGAAAAGTCATTCGCCAACTTATTAGTGACTACGGTTACATAAAATCACCAGACTATTAAATGTTGCGACATTTCTTCGTTTTTTTCGTCATACGAATAATTTCATCAAATGCTACAAGACTTGTCTCCGTCCATAGTAACTGACGTTAAGCATTCATAAGCAGATGACTATCAAATGCTGTCTAAAAGATTTGCTTTAAAATACATATCACTATTATGAAGTATTTCAATTGTCTTTGTCTCTTTATAGACGAGTGGCCCACCATTAAATACCCTACACTACGTCGTTTAATACGGTTAATCGTATTATCGATTTTTTTTAAGATAAACCTTTATTGGGAGAGCGGTCGAAAAAGTGTCACGATCCAAATCATTTTCAATAATGTTCATCCTTGGGCCAAGGTATGTTGAAGTTCAAAATTTTATCAAAATATTTGAAAAATTACGATCTGGAAGAGTTTGAGCACAAGAAAACAAGAAAGATAGACGCACGGACAAGCGAGAATCACTTTCTAAATTGATTCGTGTAACAAAGAGTCTTTTCATTTCACCCATCTTCTACATCCGTACTACATCCGTACAAACTGAATACACCGTAGTGCGAGAAGTTTAGCTGAATATCAAAAAAAAAAAAAACAGCGGATTACTCGATCTATTTATTAAGCCCGCGATGAAGTTTTGTGGCATTGTTTTCTTTTAAATTGATATTTCACTAAAACATTCTTTAACAAAATTAGATAAAACAAAATATTTAATTCAAATTATTGCCCAGTATTGGCTACGACTTTGGATTATTATGTTGTTATGTACTCAGATCAGTAATTGACTTTTATTCACAAAGGTTTTCCATCAAAATTATTTTTTGTTTTTTCTCTCTGATGATCTGCGTGCTCGATCAGTTCATTATCTAAATGCAAAAACAAAATTTGCATTCATTTACACTTTCATTAAATAATTTGTTGAATAAAATTCTTGCTAAAATCATTAATGTTATCATTATTATTATTATTATTATTATTATTATTATTATACCCTACACCACTTGTATGGACATATGTAATACGCAGACGGGCTTCAGATGGATTCATTTAGCAAACGATTCAGAATCATTTTCTGAATTGATCCAAGTCCGTCTGTCTGTCCCATTTTTGTCCATTTCAATTTATGTTCAAGCTATAGGTTCAGTTATATTGACGAAATTTGATCCAAGCACAAACACTATCGAAAATGGTTCGGATCGGTCCACTGCTTCGGCCGATTTTGCAAACTCATTATATGGAAAATAATTGCAATTTTGAAAATGTCTCGACAAAGCTCGCTCTGCGATAGTCTTTAGACATTGCAAATTGGTAACAGAAACTTTTTGAATGTTTTCCAATGTAGCCGTTCTGACGTAAACTGCATCTTTATATAGTAAATAGACACAGGGTTAAAATATTTTATGGTGAAAATTAGTTCATAATAGTAAATTGAGATAGAAATAAACTTTGCCGAATTTGAATCACGTATGATCCATTCCATTGGGATATCAATCAATATGCGGACCTTCATGAAACGTACGCCTTTGTATAAAAATAATGTGTCACTTTATTTACTTACATACTGTTTGATTGATTGTATTAGGCGAAGTGGCGTAGGGTATCTAATAGTCGACCTTGCCCGACTATAATGTTCTTCATTGTGCTTTTATTCGTTTCTTTACACATTGCATGCAAGTGACGAACGCATTATTTATTTAATTTTTTTTTTTTTTTTTTTTTTGAGTTATACATGAAATCTTTTATTAATGGAAAATAAATATCTGTTTAAAAAATAAATAAATAAAGTCACTAACTTATCATATACGCATGTATGCTTCTTGTGACTGACTATTTAAGTTAATAATTAAAAAAAAAATAAATAAAAAAATTTTTTTTATTTAATTTTTAATATTGTATGTAAAAAAAAAAGGAAGAGAATTAATTCTAAAATAATAGAATAATATCAGACATAATAATAATAATAATACTAAACTCTATGAAATTTATTATTTTTGAATGCTTTTTATACATTTATAGATATATATATATATATATATATATATATTTGTTGCTCCTGCGATGTTATGAGAATTAAAAAACAAAAACAAAATTGTTAAAATAATTAAAGAAAAAAACTAAAATATATATATATTTTTCTTGATCAAATTTTTAGTTTGCACCTGTGTGGTACATAAGAGATGTCATCGTTCAGTCGTTACCAAATGTCCAGGAATGCGCGAAGAGGTAAAAATGATGGCGTATTTATACTTACTTAGCTTTAGTGTCTTTAGACCTAGAACGTATGTAACACGCAAAAGAGCTTAAGATGGACCCCATCTATTCAGAGTCATAATCTGACTTGATCTAAGCCTGTCTGGGCGTCTGTCCATGTTAATTTATGTTCAGTCTACAGGTCGCAAGTTTTTGAGATATTTTCATGAAACTTCGCATTGTTTCGTAATTTCACCCAAGGGCGAACGTTGTTGAAAATGATTCGAATCGGTCCACTTTCTCGACCACGACAAATTGTAATTTTCAAAACTTCTCGGCAACAGTGGCTGAGTAGTAGTATTTTAGCATTCTAAATTGATTCGAAAACTTTGGACCGGCGATTGGGAAATTTTTACGCAACTCATAAATTCATACGACAAAAACAATTGTAATTTAACATGTAAAATTAACCCTAGAAACTTTGGATCATCTACGCCTATTTTTCGATTCTGCCCTTTGTAAGGATTAAACTCGTGCTACATTGGGTTTCGTTTTGGACCCCCTTCCCGCATAATAAATACGTACTTGAAAAATATGAAATAAGATATGATTTTCGTGTTTTATAGCAAAAGTAAGAATCGTGTTAGACAATGTTGTATAGGGTAATTGAATGGTCGGCCTTGGCCGACTATAATGTTCTTGCGTTTTTTTAATGCACTCCATTGTTCTTTTTTCTTTTTTTTTTTTTTTTATAAAAATGTAGCAAAATAATTTGGAACCTGTGCCGGCAGGTCAGAGATTCAATGTCAATGTGCCACATCGTTTTGTAGTCCATAATTATAAACGCTTTACATTTTGCGATCATTGCGGATCGTTGTTGTACGGTCTCATTAAACAGGGTCTGCAGTGCGAGGTGTGTAATATGAATGTGCATAAACGTTGCCAAAAGAATGTTGCAAATACTTGTGGCATTAATACTAAGCAAATGGCGGAAATTCTCAGCTCATTGGGCATTTCTCCCGATAAACAGGCCCCAAGACGTTCTAAGGTAAATCAATAAAAAAAAAAAAAAAGAAATAAGAAAAATAATTTATTCCGTATTTATTATATTGGTTTTGTTAATTAAAGTATTTAAGTCAACCTGGCGGTGAAGATAACTATGGTGTTAGTATTCATAGCGAAAGCAGCGATTGTATATCGACTGGAACGCGTAGTTCAACTATGTCGCTACAGACTTTAAGTTCCGGTACATCTGGTGGTATTACGGTGGGCAGTGCCGGCACCGATTTGAGTTCTTCAAATGCCAATCGTTACTATGACTCGCGTCCCGGTAAAACAGCCTTACAAGATTTCAATTTCATTAAGGTCTTAGGCAAAGGCTCATTCGGTAAGGTGATGTTAGCCGAAAAGAAAGGCACCGATGAAATTTACGCCATTAAAGTATTGAAAAAAGATGCCATAATACAAGATGACGATGTCGATTGTACAATGACCGAAAAACGTATACTAGCTTTGGCTGCGCATCATCCATTTTTGACGGCTTTACATTCCTGTTTTCAAACTCCGGTAAATTATACAAAAAAAAAAGAAAAAAAAAAATAGAGATTCACCAGCACCTTATAACGCAAATTGAATTAATTTATTTCGATCAATTTTAGGATCGTTTATTTTTTGTTATGGAGTATGTTAACGGTGGCGATTTAATGTTTCAAATTCAAAAGGCCCGACGTTTTGAGGCGGCTCGCGCTGCCTTTTACGCAGCCGAAGTAACATTGGCTTTACAATTTTTACACTCAGCCGGTGTTATATATCGCGATTTGAAATTGGATAATATCCTGCTGGATCAGGAGGGCCACTGTAAATTAGCTGATTTTGGCATGTGCAAGGTTTAAAGCGGAAGCATTTTTTTTTTTTTTTTTTTTTTTTTTATATAAAATTCTGACGATATTTTCTTATAGGAAGGCATTATGAATGGCGTGTTAACAACCACATTTTGCGGTACTCCCGACTATATAGCTCCAGAGATTTTAAAAGAACAAGAGTATGGCGCGTCAGTTGATTGGTGGGCCCTTGGTGTTCTCATGTACGAAATGATGGCGGGTCAGCCACCTTTTGAAGCCGATAACGAAGACGAATTATTTGATTCGATTATGCACGACGATGTTTTATATCCAGTTTGGCTATCACGCGAATCTGTGTCCATTTTGAAAGGTACTCAAGTATACTGCAAAAAAAAAATGTTTTTTTATTCCACTTCAAAGCGGAAGCCCCATTAACACATCGAACGTCTTCCTTAGTCTCCTTCGCATTCGGTTAACCCGTACACACACACTTAACCATGTTAATCGAGTCGATCGAAAATGCACAGACACTTTTTGAAATATCATAATTTACATTGTCTCCTTGCCTTCCTGTCAATATAGAAGAATCGGCTATCCTTGATGTTCATACATGCATATATTCGGAGTGGAAAACGCAATCAACGCAAGGCCTTACGTTTTTCAAAGCGGTGTAGGAAATACTTCGCTGCAGCCAATATCCCTACGATTTACATCGTGTGCTTACACAAGCGTCTCGCAAAACTCTCGACACTCCCGAGCATTGGCGTAACGTCCGGGTAGTGCACTAGCTCAATCCACGGCAAGTGTTACACATATATAAAAGAGATTTGTCAACAAGATTACAAGGCTTTCTCAGCTTTATCACCCATTCGTCCAGGAATTGCCTATATATCGCACGACGCACTATCGCGACTCGTCATTCTTTAATCACACTACGCGCCATTGGAACAATCAGCCAGCAAGGATCTTTCCCGTCTTGCCCGGGGTTTCCCTGATAAAATCGATGGCACACCAACACTATTTTTTTTCTTCCATCGCTCTCTACCTACAAGTCTTCTTGACCACCATCGCGTCAGCGCGTATAAGCGACATCACCTGAATGCCAAATAAAAATTTCATTTCTCCATACATTTTAAAATGATTGTGCGAATGTCTTAGGTTCTGTTTATTAAATTCATCATATTGAGTGTTATTAGAATAGGAACCAAATTAACTTTTACCGACCTTTTATTTTGACCTTCGAGTTAAGTACAACATTTATTTATTTAAAATGTACGATAGATATTTTTTATATGCACCTTTCAGCATACAAAGCGTTAGAAAGCCATCCGTCAAATCCCTCTTATGTTATGCACCTGCTCGTATAAAAAAAATAAGAAAAAAAAACTATCATAAGTTGGTCATAATGTAATAGGTCCATATTCCGTTCGAGACCCTTTTCATTTTCCCTTTTTCTATTTCAAACTAAAGCGGCCTATTGGTGTTTCATCCAAGCCTAATATAATTTCTCTATTCCGTTTTAATTCATATATAGGTTTTTTGACTAAAAATCCTGATCAGCGTCTGGGCTGTTCGGGTGATGAAAATGAAATACGTCGCCATCCATTCTTTGCTAAATTGGATTGGGATGAATTAGAAAAACGCAACATGAAACCGCCATTCCGACCGAAAATGGTATGAAATCTTAATTATAGAGAACTATGATGAATGTAAATGGAAAGAATTTAATTTTATTTTTAGAAAAATCCACGAGATGCCAATAATTTTGATACAGAATTTACTAAAGAGGAACCAGTATTAACGCCCATACCACCTGACGTAGTACGTTGCATAAATCAAGACGAATTCGCTGGTTTCTCCTACGTCAATCCTAAATTTGGTCCCGAGCGAAAAGTTTTTTAAAAGAAGCCGCATCGTAGACGCAACGTTAAGCAAACAAATCTAGTACGCTTCAGAAATGCGTGCAAAACTATTGGTTTTTACTGCACACAACTAATTTAGTGATTTTGAAAAAACAAAAAAAAAAAAACAAAGTTGAAATCTCGTTTTTAAATTTGAAACGCGGAACAAAAAATTTATTTTTATATTATTATTATTATTATTGTTAGTATTTATTTAGGCAGCAATGTTAATGTTAAACTATTTTCTGTTTTGTTTTTTTTTTTTTTTTTTTTTTTTAGAATTTATAGTAACTTGTGCTACAAATTCTACGATTTATTATTTATTTTTTTATTTTTTATCATAAACATTATGATGATTGCTTCTTGAATGAAAAAATTTTTAACTGTTTGTTTTACGATTTAAGTTTCACGCATATATTTTCGGTTGTATAATGGAAAAAAAAAGTGAAAAATAGAAAAAATTGTATTTACAAAAAATAGTATAGAAAAAATTATGTATATGTTTAAGCAAATTAGGGATTTAATTAGAAACCTCTTAATAAAAGCAAGAATTCAACAAAAAAAAAAAAGGAAAAAACGCAACGTTTGCTAAAAACCACAAAACATGTTCCAACGTTTACAGAACAACATAAAAAAACAAAAAAAAAAAAAAATTAAAAGAATAAAAATTCAAGTGATGCTGTTATAAAATAATAAATTGCATAAAACTAGATGTACTATGCAAAAAAACCTAATTGAACTAAAATATATATATATATATATATATATTTATATATATGTATATATAAAATAAATAAATAAATTAAACAGTTTATAGTAGTAGTAAACATAATGTAACATGAATGCATGATATTGAATAGTGAAAAAAAAAGAAAAAAAAAAAACAAAAAATCTATAAAACGCGTAGTCACGTAACGAACAACAACAAAGAAAACCTAAAGCTTAAGTCAAAAATCTTTTAAATTTCGAAACAATGCAACAAAACACTTTTAAACCGCAACTGAAACACAAAAACAATAACTCACAAATATAGCATTAATTAAGTTTGTTAATTATTGTTAAAAGAAAACCAAAAAAAAAAAAAAAAAAAAACACAAAAAATATCATTTATATGCTTTTCTCAATGTGTGCCTGAACTTTATTTAGCTTTAACACGAATCTCTCCATCTATTAAAAACGAAAAAAATATATCTGTTTCATTTCTTATTAGAAAAACATTTCTCATTAATATCGCTTTTGAAAAAATTTGTTCATTTCTAATCTATCTATCTATCTATCTATATGCTTTTGAACGATTTTTTTTTATAAACCATTATGCGAAAGGCGAGACATACAGTTTGTAAGTATGAATAGACGGGTATATGTCGGAGAGACTACAGACTTGAATTGTCTTGTCTTGTCTACCTGTTTACGCCTACATACATTTGTCTAATCGTACAATTCCCAAGATGCATATATATAACTCATGTATTTTTAATTTAGAACAATTGATGAAATTTGAAAATGAATTTGAGAGAAACGAAAGTTTCCCATTATATTATTAACCGAATCGCGAATTTTAAACAAAATTGTTACGGAAACATTGTCGATAAATCGATCCATCGATCGATCGATCGATGCCTACGCAATTAATAACATAATTTTTGCACATCTCTGCTAAGGTATATATTTAATTGATCCCGACGCTTATGTTTGCTATTTTTATTTTTATATCTTTTGCTTTCTCATATCCATCACCGAAGATTGGAAGGTATGTAATCCGGAAGGTCCGGAAGGGAACTTCCAAGACTCATTAAATTATATACACTCTTAAACGGTGTCAAAATTCGAAATCAATTTAAATATGTCCGTCCGTCCGGCCGCCATGTCTATTGTAAATATTGCAAGACAATTTGAAAGCAAACACACTTATGCAAAAAACACTGTTAACGTGTTTGTTTTCATGTTTTTTGCTTGTTACTCGAAAAGTACAACAACAGCATGTACACATCACATAAATGTTCACTTGTATTCTATTCAATTGCACGCAATATTATCGAGTATGAAAATTTGTTTTTTTTTTTTTTTTCATCTTTTTAGGATAACGATGATGGGTATTAGAGATTCGGCCACGATCGAATATATAAAGTTGTTTACTTGTTTTTATTCTAGTCACAATATGTTTTAAGTAGTTGACCAAGTCAAAATATAATTTATATACACGTAACCCTAGAGATCATCATTGTTATTGCATTCTACGAAATTTATTCGATATTATTTCTTTTATCGTCATTATATCCTCCGATCTCTGCCTCCCTCTCCTCTACCCGCCATCCATCGATAGTGTCGGCTTCTGCATATCTGTCTTTCCGTCCGTGTCAAATATTCGCCACAAAGCACAGAGCAATCTCTTGAACGCAAGTTAAAAGTCAAAGGACGCTTATGCAGTACAGTAAAAGCTCTTTATTCGCACTTTCTTCATACGCGTTTTCACTATTCGCGGATTAAAAAAAAACTAAAAAAATTTCTATATTCGCGGCTATAAATTTCTTTATTCGCGAATCTAATAAGTACATATGTAATAATACAAAAATTCCAATAGGTATTCAATTTCGATTCCGTATTCACGGTTTCTGTATTCGCGGCACATATACCCCGCGACTAAAGAACTTTTACTGTACAATAAAAAACTGAGCTGATAAATCTCGGTGTCACTGCTTTATTTGTTAATTGATTATTACAACTTACAACAGATATACTAATAAAAGTGTTCGCGGAGTGCCGGTAGAGAAACGCCCACATCTGCTTAATATTTTAGGATATAGATAGATTTCACCTTTTTTTCATTTTAAGTCGATTATAGTTTTCTTATTTCTATTTTCTTTAGTTTTATTTATTTTATTTTTTATGTTTATCTTTCGATACTTTCTTAAATCATCCTTGGAAATTGTACTTTTTTTTTCTTACATTTCATTTATTGTTATATTATTTTTTAAAAAATGTTGTCTCTGCGTATATTAAAAAAACAGTTTATGGTTTAAATTTTGTAAAATTAAAACAAAAAAAAACACGAAGAAAATAATTTAACGTTTATTGGAAATTTCTTCCAATGATTTTCTTCTTCTATTGGCTGTAATTGGAGTTAACTGTAGCTTTCTCTAACTAACTGTGTCGACCTTAGTAGCGATGACGAGTATACTCGTCAAACACGGTATGTGGGTAAAATGAAATTAGGTTTTAACGAAATGACTTGATAAAACAACAAAAACTTTGTGTAAAATAAATTGGCAGACAAATATACATTCGTAATAATAAAATTTGATGAGGACATAGGCAGTTAACTTGTTAATGAATGTGAAAATCTCGATGGGCGTGTTCTTGAAACAACGTTAATTGGCAGAGAGAGAGAGAGAGAGAGAGAGAGAGAGAGAGAGAGAGAGAGATACAGAGATAATATATACATGCACGTACATATATGTTGGCTCATAGTATATAGTGCTTCATAGTAAGTGTTTATTAAAATTACAAAAGTAATTTTTGAAAGATTAACTATTGAGCAATGGCTTAGATTCACGTCCGTTTGCGGTAGATGACGGCAACGTGCAGAAAAAAAACGTAAATGATTCATTTTGAAATAGATTTGGACGGGAGAGGTAGAATGATATTGTGAGAATGAATAATACGAAACCGATTCCGGGATGAGTCTTTATCCTAGAGTAAGGCCACTAGTTGGCAGTGCGTTGCCACTGAGACCAAAAAGCACGTATATTCTTACATACGTGTACACATATATATACACACACACAGACAGACGCACACATACACATACATAAACACGCAGTCCCGATCTAAACTAAACTTTACAGTTTTGTTTCAATTTCTCTGGCAATCTCTGGTCTCTAGGTGACAGCCTTTTAATTTTGAGTTTACACTGCACATTTATTTTTAATTATTAATTTGTAATTTTGTACAAAATTACAAAAACAAAGAGGCTTAAAAACCCATAAATTATGCCACGAAAGTTCTGTGATTCAATAAAATTTTAGTCTTTATTAATTAAAATCAAAACCATATGCAAACATGGCAAATTATTTGAAATCAATTGTCGATATGAAAAATCTCAAATTTTCATTGTAAGCTTCAACATCAGTTCATATATTTCATTTTTTTTTTACCTTACAGACTATCTACAAAACTATTATAATAATAATATATAAGTAAAAGAAAACAAGAATACCCTACACTATGCTAACATTATTCCTGTAATCACTTTTCAAAATAAGACTTTAGACAGAAGGCATGATCGGAAAAGTGGTCCGATCCAAATCATTCTCAATAGAGTCCGTCCTTGAATCGAAACACGTCAGTGTACCGCAAAAGTTTAAGACGTTTAGGTAAAATGCAAGAAACTATAAAACGGACAGGCGGACAGACATACCTAAAGCGATGCAAAAAATGTCTCTGAATTGAATCGGATATAATAAAAGATGACTTTATCTCAAGTCTTTCTCAAGTCCACACAAATTTACTATGTCCTTGGGTCATAAGTAGTGTAGAGTATAAGTAGATATTTCGGTTCAAAAAAGCCATACCGAACTAAAATGTCCTAATTGATTGATTTAATATTTTTGTTATGTACAAAGATTTTGTAATCACCAACTTAAACGTAAACTTTTTAATGGTTTTCACTTCACATCTCAACTTGTTTTAGTTCTTATGTCTTAATGTTTACCTTTTTTTATTTTTATTTTTTTTTCTTTTTAATTTCTAAATATTTTTATGTTACTTTTGCTTTCCTAATTTTAATACGAACAAAACTATTTTCATTAAATTGTTATCGCGCGAACTTTGAACCCACCAAAAATAAAGTTTTTATTAGAAAAAAAAAAAACAAAATATATAAAAAACATATAAATGAAAAACAAAAAACGCAAATTAATTAAATTTTAAATTATATTAATAACGAGATGAATAATTCTTTTGTTTTATTATTATTTAATAAAATGGACACCAGAAAGTATTAATAAAAAGAATTAAAAAAAAAAAAACAATATTCGAAATAATAATAATAATAATAATAATTACAATTCCAAAAAAAGAGATAATAAATATAAAATGATAATAATTAATAATAATAACTAATAATTGTAATAATTAATTAATTAATAATAATAATAATAAATCAATCATAATAATAATTAATAATAATTGTTAATTATTATAATTCATAAAAACAATAATGAATAAATATATATATATATATATATATATACAATAAATAATAATACTAATAACAATAGCTATAATAATTTACAATAACAATAATAAATAATTAATAATAATATGGATAGAGAATTATTTTAATTTCTATTTTAAAATATGTTTTCGAAAACATTTCATTATGTAATGAAAACTTAAAAAATATATGCACAAAGAGAAAAGTAACCAATTTCTAGAGAATAGAAAAAAAAGGACAAAAATAAAAATAATAAACAAACGCATTCAAAAAAACAAAAAAAAAAAAAGAAACTGATGGGAGAAAAACACAGTGCAAAAAAAAAAAACCACAATTTATAAAACTAACAAACTTTTCCTAATATTAATATAAATATATTAAAATAAAAAAAAATATATATATATATTAAAAAAAAAAGAAAAAAACAAATTGAAACGC